AATTTTGTCATGAACCATCTGAATTATCTTTATTACATACTTCTAAAAAAAAGTGAATTTTTTACAAGGCACCACATAATCTGAAACTGGTTTTTACATATATTTTTAGAAATTATGAATCCTAATATGAAACAGACATCTGAAAAGCAAATTTACCCTTCACTGCAAAATGTGTTTTGGAGGAGTGACTTGACAAAAGCAGCTCTTTCCAGGTTGGCTGACTTCTTTTGCCATAATACCTATAGATAGTTACTTCTTCTTTTGATAGACATTATAAGACTGTTAGAGTTGTGCTCAGAAAAAGTCTGTACTTGGGTTTGGAAGGTGACTTCGCTGTGTTCAAGAATGCTTTTATTTCACAAACTAACTTATAGGGAAGGCATAATCAGTAGGGAGTTACATTGCTAATCCAAAGGCTATGCCTCTCTGGAAGTTAGAATCCACCAGCAGCTCTATGGGAGAAAAACAAGAAAGTACTCTTATGCAATTTACAATCTAAGAAATCCTTGAGAAGGTCAGCTATGAGTTTGTTCAAACTCATTTTAGGCATTACTTTTCAGATTCATTCATGATATCTTCACCATCACTCATCATCTAAAGTAATCTAAATGTAGAAGAAACCAGTGACATAATATTCACCATAAACAGTGGTCTTATGCAGTATTCATCCTTTTTGTGAAGAAGATATTACTCAGCATAATGTCTTCCAGACTCATCCATGTTGTATAGTGTTTCACAAATTCTTTGTTTTTTCAGTGCTGTGTAATATTCCACTGTGTGACTGTACTGCCATTTTTCTATCAATTTATATAGTGACTGGAACTTGTACTGCTTCTATCTCTTTGTTATTGTGAATAATGCTGCAATAAACATGGCTATGCATACATCTGTCTCCATCATGGCTCTGATTTCTTTAGTCTATTCCGAGTAGTGCAATACCTGGATCAAATGGTATTTCCATTTCCAACTTCTTTATTTTTATTTCCAACTTTTTTTTTCTATATTTTATATAGGTTGATATACACTGTCTTTCTGTATCTTTTCCCTTTCCTTTATCTACTCCTCCCTCCACCCACTAAATTATGTGACTCTATGTTTGTGTACTGCCCCTCCCTTGATCCTCACACTCATTCTACAATAATTGTCCTATAAAGTATTTGCCTTTATGAGTCTGAGTTAGTTCACTTAGTTAGAATAATGCTCTATAGTCCCTCCAAAGTTAGGTAGTAATTTACAAAATCATTGCTCCTAAGTGCTGCATAGTATTCCATTGTGAATATACTGAGATTTCTCAATCCATTTTATTGTGGTTGGGCATTTGGGCTGTTTCCATGTTCTTGCTATGTGAATAACACTACTATCCATATTGGTGTGTACAAGTCTCTGTGCCTCAGTTCTCATTTTCTCAGAGTATATTCCAATCAGTGAATAGCTGGGTCATATGAAATTTTTATGTTCCGCTTTTTGAGAAAATGCTAAACTGTTTTCCAGAGTGTCTATACCTTTCTACAATCCCATCAACAATGTATAAGAGTTCCTATCTCACCACATCCTTTCCAACATCTATTACTACCTGCTCTGCTAAACTTTATCACTGTTACTGTGGTAAGATCGTTATCTCATTGTGGCTTTCATTTAAATCTCTCTTATTGCCAGTAATTTGGAGCTTTTCTTCATTTGTCTGTTTGCCATCATAATGTCTTCCTTTGTGAAAATTCTTTCCAACTGTCCTGCCCATTTTGTAATTGGATTATCAGTCTTTTCTGTTCTGGAGGCCCAGGAGAATTCTATAAACTTGCATTATGAGACCCTTGTCTGAGATTGTATTGCCAAATGTTTGTTCCCAGTCAGTAGGTTTTCTTTTTACCCTGTTGGGAACAGTTTTTGATGAGCACAGAAATTTAATCTTAAGAAGGTCCCATTCATCAATTTTATCTTTTTCATATTGTACATTCTATGAATTGCCCCCTAAGTAACTGCATCGCATGGGTTTTGATATGTTGTGTTTTCATTAGCATTTGTTTCAAGGACCTTTTTTATTTCATTCTTTATTTATTCTATAACCTAATCATGATCTATCTAGGTGTTATTTAGCTTCCAAATTGGTGGCTTTATATGCTTTATCCTCTTATGGTTAATTACTAGTTTTATGGCATTGTGGTCTGGAAAGATACTTTGTATTATTTTATTTTATTTATTTATTTATTCATTCACTCATTTATTTATTTTCGATTGTTGAGTCTTGCCCTTGTGCCATAATCTGTGATCACTTCTGGAGAATGTTCCATGTGTATTTGAAAAGAAAATGAATCACGTGGGATGACATCTAATGGAATAACATGCATATGATTGAAATTCCAGAATATGAGACGGACAGGAAAATAACTGAGAAAATTGTGGAAGAGGTACTAGAAGAAAACTTCCCAAGTATTAGGAAGAATGGAGAAATCCACATTCAGAAAGCTCAGCAAACATCAAATAGACTAGACCCAAAAAGGAAAACATCATGACCTATGATAGTCAAACTCTACAAAATAAAAGGATAGAATACTGAAAGTATCACAAGAAAAACAAAGAGTCATCATCAAAGAAAAGTCATCAGATTAAGTTCTGATTTTTTTCAGCAGAAACCATGTGAGCAAGAAGACAATGGGATGGCATATACAGAAATTTGAAAGAAAACTTTGCCAACCGAGGATCCTGTACCCAGCAAAGGTCGCCATCAAATATGAAGGAGAAACAACATCTTTTGCAGAAAAGAAAGAACTAAAGGAATTTGTGAAAACAAGAACAAATCTACTAGGACTTTTAAAGGAATTCCTTCATACAAAGACACTAAAAGAAAGTGACCATACAGAGTAACAACAAACAAACAAACAAAAATAGAAAAAAACACAACAAAATGGCAATGATAAAATCTGACCTTTCAATAATCACACTTAATATGAATGTACTAAATGCACTAATCAAGGGGAAAAGAGTAACAGAACAAATAATAAACAAAGTCCATCAGTATGTTGTCTACAAGACACACCTCTAATAAATAAAGAGAAAGATAGACTAAAAATCAAAGGCTGAAAAATAATATACCAAGCAAACGGTATTCACAAAAAAAGTAGGAGTCACAGTAGTAATCTTTGATAAAAATAGACTTCAGAGTGAAAAAAATCACCATAAAGGATAAGGAAGGGTATTACATAAAAATTAAATGTACAGTAGATAAATAAAACATAACATTGGTCAACATCTATATACCAAATGATTGAACAACTGTTAACAGAGTTGAAGAAAGAAATAGACAGCACCACAATAGTAGTAAGATACTCTTAACACAGCACTCTCTAAAGGATAAATCAAGTAAAAACAGACTTAATAAAGATTCAGAAGACTTAAACCCTACAGTCAACCAACTCAATCTTGTGGATATATTCAGACCACTGCACCCAACTAATTCTTTTTTAATTGATGTGCTTACAAAGTTTATATACATTGTGTTCCAAACTATTCTTTATTCACATTGAAGAATTTCATGCAATTATCAAATGTGCAAATAACTGCAGTCGGAGAACAAAATGGGAAGAAATAAATTATCTAAATTATTCTAATTGGTTTGCATACAGAGTTTATTTTATATTGCATTTTAAACTATTCTTTGTTCATATTATGTTCCATACATTCATCCTTATGCATTATGTTTTATAAAATTAATCACCATTGGACCTTGCCCATCATTATCCTGTCTTTTTGCCCAAATACTTCCCATTTGCTTCCCCTCTTCCCTCCACTCGCCAAACTGTGTAGCCCTATGGTTTCACCCCTACCTATCCTCACCCCTCCACTCCCCTCACCCCTACCTTGAGTTCTTGTACATATTTTAGTAGTTATCCTTCTGTTTCTATAATAATGGTCTTATGCAGTACTTGTTTTTATAAGACTGCTTTAGTATACTCAGCATAATGCTCTTCAGTCTCTCCCAAGTTATGTAGTAGCCTTCAAAATCATTGCTCCTGAGTGCTGCATAGTATTCCATTGTGTAAATGTACCACAATTGTTCAATTCTTTTGGTTGTGGTTGTAAATTTGGGCTTGTTTTCAAGTTTTTCCAATGGTGAATAACACTTCCATGAACATTGGTGTTCAAATCCAAAATGGGAAAAAGAGATTGAAAAAAAAACTTTTTCCAGAGGAAGAAATTCAAGTGGCCAACAGACACGTGAAGAAATGCTCAGAATCACTGACAGTAAGAGAGATACAAGTCAAAACCACAATGAGATACCATCTCACTCCAGTAGCACTGGCAAAGTTTAGTAGGGCAGCAAGTAATAAATTCTGGATGAGATGTGATGAGCTGGAAATCCCTTATACTCTGTTGGTCGGATTGAAAAATGGTGCAATCACTCTGGAAGACAGTCTGGTGTTTCCTCAAAAAGTTAAACATAGAAACTCCATAAGATCTAGCTATTCCACTACTAGGAATATACCCCAAGGAAATTAGGACTGAGAAACAAATGTAGATTTGTACATAAAAATTCTTAGCTCAACATTTCTTAAGCGGGAAGAAATACAAATCTTCAAGCAGCAATTTGCAATGTTGAGATATGTATGCTAAGGGTAAAATCTTGAATAATCCAGGAAACACAAAAAAAAGATAAAGCAAGTAAAGAATCATGGTACCAAAAATTGGTTGACAGTGAAATATTACTGGAGTACCATATGAACAAGAACAAATGGCAATGAAGGAAGAAATTCAAGATGCACTGAAGGTCTGGACAAAAAATTAAACCCGAGTAGTTGAAGGAATACCAGTTGACACGTATCAACTGACAAATGCAGCCCTGAAAGTGCTTATCAGTCTAAACCATGAAATTTGGAGCCTGGCTGACTTACTGGAAGTGATTTATATTTATTTCCATTCCCGAGTAAAATGATCCAACAGAATATGGAAATTATCGAGCAGTATCATTAAAATAACATGCAAGCAAAATATTGCTGAAGATCATCTCAAAAGAGCTGGAATTTGACATGGATCTGCCAGAAGGTAAAGCTTGGATTAGGAGATGTCATGACACCAGGAATATCATTGCTGGTGTCGTGTGAAACCTGGTTGAAAGCAAAGAAATCCGGATGAATATTAATCTGTGTTTTATTGACTATACAAAGACATTTGACCATGTGGATAAACAAACCACAGCTAACATCTAGAAGAATGGAAATCCCAGAACAATTAAATGTGTTCATGTGGAATCTATGCCCAGATCAGAAAGATATTGTCTTAAGGGGGAAAGGGAATACTGCATGCTTTAAACCTGGATGAGTGTGTTTCAGGAATGTATCTTTTCTCCATATATATTCAGTCTGTATGCTGAGCAAAAAATTCACGAAGCTGTAGTCACTGAAGAAGAATAACATCAGGATTAGAGGAAGACTCATCAATGACTTATGTTATGCAGATGATACCACTTTGCTTGCTGAAAGTGAAGAAGACTTGAAATGTTTGCTGCAGAAGCTCTACAACCTTCAGAATTTATTATATCTCAAGATCAAGAAAACAAAGTTCCTTACCACTAACACAATAGGAAACATCACATAGATGGAGAAATGACTGAAGTTATTAATTACATATCTTACTTGAATAAACACTCAACACTTTTGTCACCGATATTGAGGAAATGAGGAGTTGTATTGTATTGGGTTGTATTCTGTTGTCAAGAACCTCTCAAAAATACTGGAGAGGAATGATGCCAGTTTGAAGAAATTTGATGTGTCTGATTCAGACCTTTTCTATCACTTCAAGCATTCTTTACCAACAAGTTTATTGATACAACAGTTTTATATTCCTTTCCTATTTCCCCTGAGAGGTTCAGGTTCCATTTCTCTTCTATGAGATTGAGAGACTATTCTAGTCCTTAACAGTAATAATATACTTAATAGGGAATAAGGGGATGAATATTTAAAATCCATAGAGTACTCTAACATCTCAACAAGAAAAGAACAAAAAAAAAACAACCAAGAGATAAACCTCAACAACTAAAAATGGACAGAAGATAGGAAGACTTCTCACCAAAGCGGATATTCAGATGATCATAAACCTCATGAAGAAATGCTAGTAATCATTAGTTTTTAGAGGTGCCAATAAAAACAACAATGATAAACTATCTCACTCCATTGAGAATTGCAAAGTTCAACAAGACAGCAAATAATAAATCCTGACAATGATGAAGACATTGGAACACATGTATTTGCTAGCAAGGATATCAGTCTGGCACTTTCTCAGAAGACTGAAAGTTGATCCAGTTATCCCACTACTAGAAATATATCACAATAAAAATAGGATAAGGCATAAATGGTAAATGTATACACACCATGTGTATCATAGTACTATAAAAAACAACAAAGAGCTACAAGCAGCCAAAGTGTCCATTAACAAACAAATGGATCAAGAAACTGTGATGCATCCACACAGTGGAGTATTATGCAGCCCTGAGAAACAATGAAATTTTGTATAAACATTATACAACATGAATGAGTCTAGAGAATCTTATGCTTTGTTAATTAACTCAGTCATAAAGGAACAAGTGTGGTAAAAAAATCACTATTATAAAATCAGGAGTATTATACAGCAGAGAAGTGGGAAGAAAAATAAGAGAATGGATAGATAAGAAAAGTGGCATTACAGTAAGTGGAAGGAAGGTTATTCTGGAAAGGATGAGCTTTAAAACATTTTAAGTAAAATAAAAACTCAACAAGAGTGCAAGTAATGCTGCTAACAAGCTAGAATAAGACATGCATTAGGAGATAGTGAGTGAAGGGAAGATAAATCCATATAAAAGACTGAGTGAAAAGACTTCAAAAAAACCCAACAAAAACAAACCCTTAGATCAAATGTTGTTGTTGCTGTTGTTGCTATTATGTGCTGTTGAGTCACTTGTGACTCATAGCAACCCTATGTACAACAGCTCTGAACCCTGTGCCAAACCTATTGTCCCTGACACACCTTATCCATCTTATCTAGTGTCTTCCTCTCTTGTGCTGCTCCTCTACCCTCCCAATCAAGATGTCCCTTTTCAAGGTCTGCTCATTCCTTCCAACATGCCTAAAGTATTTCAGCTAAAGCTTGACTTCAAGGAACACCCTCTCTAGGATAAAACTGTTTGTAATCCTAGTAGTCAATGGTTTATCCACTATTCTTCTCTACCACCACAGCTTAAAGGCATCAATTCTCTTCCTATCATCCCTAGTCGTTACTGTACAGCTTTCCCATGTGTAACAAGTAATTGTGAAAACTATGGCCAGGATCAGGTGCACCTTAGTCTGCAAACTGACACTGTTACTATTCAATACTCTGGCAAGGACCCTGACAACAGATTTTCCCCAAGCAATTTGTCTCTTGATGTCCTGGCTGCTGGTAGCGAGAGTGTTGATTGTGGAGCCAAGCAAACTAAAGTTGCTAACAATCTCAGTTTCTTCACTGTCTAACATGATGCTGCTAATCAGTCCAGTGGTAAGAATCTTTGTTTTATTGATGTAGAACTTCACTCTGTATCGAAAGCTACAGTCCTTGACTGCTGCAGCAAGTGCTTCAGGTCCTCCTTATTTTCAGCAAGCAGGGTTGCGTCATCTTCGTAACAGAGACGTGCAGACTGGGTTTAGAAGAGGCCATGACACTAATAATGTTAGATAGAACTCAAATGAAAGCAGAGAATACCAGAGGAATTTCTGTGTTTTATTGACTATACAAAGGCGTTTGAGTGTGTGGATTACAACAAACTGGCTAACTCTGAGAAGAATGAGAATCTCAGAACCCTTGATTGTACTTATGTAAAACCTATATTTGGACCATGATGCAGTTGTCAGAACAGCAAAATTGGAAAGGGTGTATGCCAGGGGTGTGTCCTATCTCCATAGTTTTCAATTCTCTATATATTCAAATAATACTTTTTATAAAAAATAAACAGAACAGTAAAGTATTTTGAAAGATCAAAAAAAGAAAAATACTGTGATTCAGTCCCTTCTCCTATTAAGGGAATGGAAAAAATGGTCAAGTGCATTCTAATTCTATGAAAACAGTACTATCTGTCATGTCTTTACCGTCATTGTATGTCATCTTTTGTCACTCTTTAATGGACAATTTAATAATTCTTTTTTAAAAAATAGCAGTATAATTAAAGTTCTTCATATAGAATATTTCCAACTTCACAACAGAAAGCTGTTTAGCAATTATGTAAGGTTTTCATTCTGTTTATAGTGACATAGGGATTCACCATGGCCTGTGGCATTGGAGAAAAAGCAGCACCTGACACTGTTTGATGAAAAAGGAATTCTACTTAGAGAGCAATAAAATATTTATTCATAAGTCAGCTTAGGATTTCCTTTCTATATCCCCATGATAGCTTTTGTTTCTCTACATTTATGCTAATTTCCCTGAGACAAAAAATTCCTTTTATTAAAGAGCCACAAATAGTACAGTGAAAATCTAATGAGATCAATGAATTCATTCCTCATGAAACAAAATCATTTCCTCTAAAGTATTTTTATTTCATTTACATAGTTAATTAGGGATTTTTAAGCATTCAATCATTGCTCAATTTTACTGAAGAACATTTTAACAATTATATATTTCTTTATTTTGTTTCAGAAAACACAGAGAAACTGTACTGTCCCCACCTTGTTTAGCATTGAATGATTTATTTTCTGAACACTCTATTTATTATTTTCTTTCAAATATCTATCATCTCTCTCTCTCTCCCTCTAGCCTTCCACATATGTATATTGTTTTGCATACAACATTAATATACATTTTTTATCTATGTATATTATGTTTTACACATTCCTTCAATAACACTGTGTTTTATAAAATTAACACCACTGATCTATGTTCACTGCGATACTATTTTTTCAAGTCTTCAGAAGATCTGTCCTAATTCCCTCAGGCCACCTCATAGCCTATAACCTAAGTTCTGCAACCCTGTGATTTCCTACCCTCCCCACACTTAATTCCCCTTTCTTCTTCCCCTTACCCTTTGTACTTTTATCCACCTTTTATTAGTTATTCTTTTGTTTTCATAATAACGGTCTTATGTAGTATTTGTCGTAATGAGACTGAATTAGTTCAAGGTACCATAATGTTCTCTAGTCTCTATGATGATACATAGTTGTTTCTTTGTTTTAAATCATTGCTCCTGCCCCTATATAGTGTTCCATTGTGTGAATGTACCAACATTTCTCAATCCATTTGTTTGTTAATGGACATTTGAACTGTTTCAATTGTTTTGCTATTGTGAACAATGTTGCTATAAGCATTGATGTACAGTTTTCTTCATTTGTGTTTCAGTTTTCTTTTCCTCAATCAACAGTCTTGGCCCCAGAAGTCAGGAAATCAAAAGAAGAATTACAGTAGGAAAATCTGCTGTCAGAGACCTCTCCAGAGTGCTGAAGAGGAATGACATCAGTCTAAAGATTAAGGTATTCCTGATCCTAGTGATAGTCTACTATACATCAGAGAATTGTACAATAACTACAGATAGCAGAAGAATTGATGCCTTCAAGTTGTGGAGCTGGTGAAGAGTATTGAAAATGCTATTGAATGGCAAGAGAACAGGTATTTCTTGAAAAGGGTGAAACCAAATTGCTTCATGGAGGCAAGGGTTTGAGCCAAGTTGTCAGGAGGGATCAGGCCTTGGAGAAGGATATCATTTTTAGAAAGGGGGAGGAATAGTACAGGAGAAGAAGACCATAAAGAAGATGAATTAACACTGTAACTGGGATAATAGCGGGTAGATGTGTCAGAGATTGAGATTGTCTCAGGATAGAGCAGCTTTCAGAGCTGCTGTGCATAGGATTGCTATGAGTCATTGTCAATCTGATAGCACGTAACCACAACAACATATTCATAGCAATAGGATATTGTTGTGTACCATTGAGTCAGAACCAACTCATAGCTGATCCTCTGTCAGATTTTCAGAAGCAGTTAATTGCATGTGAGAAGACTGTCCATCTTTCTCCCATGGAGCAGCTGGTGGATTCATATTGCATGCTTTTGGGATTGTAGTACAGCTTCTTGCTAATACTTGAGTCATATGTTCTAAGTTCAGCTTTTTGAG